TAATAGTAATAATAATAGAAATATTAATCGAAATAGTATTGGTGGCAATAATAGTAATAATAATAGTAATAGTAATACTAAATGTAATAGTCCTAATAATAGTAACAAAAATACTAAAGGTAATAGTCCTAATAATAGTAATAATAACAGTAATAATAATTTAAACAATAAAAGTATTAATAATAATTATATTATTATTAAAGATAATAGTATTAATAATAGTAATATTAATTGTAATAATAATAGTAATAATAATGCTAATCATAATGGTAATAATAATTGGAACAATAATAGTAATAATCATAGTAACAATAATAGTAATAAAAAGAGAAATAATAATAGTAATAATAATTGTAATAATAATATTAATTTTAATAATAGTATTAATTTTAATAATAGTAGTAATACTAATTATAATAATAATAGTAATATTAACAGTAATAATAATAGTAATAATATTAGTAATAATTGTTGTAATAACACCAGTAATAATAATAGAAATAATAATAATAATAATAATTGTAATATCACCAGTAATTACAAATGAAATAATAATACTTTTAAAATTGTAATATAATAGTAATAGGAATTATAATTATAATAGTAATATTAATGATTTTAATCATAAGGGTAATAATAATTGAAATAATAATGCCAATCATAACTGTAATAATAACAGTCATAATAATAGTAATAAGAATAGTAATCATAATAGTAATAATAACAGTAATGATAATAGTGTTAATTATAGTAATAGTAATAGAAATAATAATATTAATAATAAAAGTAATAATATATGTAATATTAATAGTAATAAAAATTGTAATAATAATAGTAATAATAATTGTAATAATAATTGTAATAATAATAGTAATAATAATTGTAATAATATTCGTGATAATAGTAGTAATTATAAAAGTGATAATTATAGTAGTAACAATTGTAATAATAATTGTAGTAATAACAGTAATAATAATAGGAATAATAATTGTAATAATAGAAGTAATAATAATTGTAATAATAAAAGTAAAAATTATAGTAAATACAATAGGAACAATAATAGTTATAATTATAGTAATAATATTTGTAATTAAAATAGTAACAGTAATAGTAGCATCAATTTTAATAATAAAAGTAATAATACTAGTAATATTAATGGTAATAATAATAGTAATAAAAATAGTAATAACAATTGTAATAATAACAGTAATAATAATAGCAACAATAATAATAATCATTATAGTAATAACAATAATAATGATATTTGTCATAATTATATAATAGTAATAGAAATAATAATGTCAATAATAAAAGTAATAATAATAGTAATAACAATTGCGATAATAATTTTATTAATACCAGTAATAATAATTGTATCAATAATACTAATAATAATTTAAATAATAATAGTTTTAATAATTGTAATAGTAATAGTAATAATAATCGTGATAATAATAGTGATAATTATGGTGATAATATGTGTAATAATAATAGTATTAATAACAGTAGTAATTATTCTAATAATAATAATAATAATAATAGTAGAAATAGTAATAATATTTGTGATAATTATAGTAATAATAATTATAATTATATTTGTATTAATAAGAGTAATAATAATAGTAATAATAATGCAAATAAATATTGTAATAATATCAGTAATAATGATTTTAATAATAATTGTAATATTAATAGTAATAATAGTAATAATAATAATGTTAATAATAATACTAATAGTGATAATTGTAATAATTGTAATATTAATAGTATTTGTTATTGTAACAATAACAGTAATTATAAAAGTTATAGTAATTGTAATAATAATAGTATTAATAATACTTATAAAAATTGTAATATTAGTTGTAATAATAATAGTAATAATAATAGTAATTGTAATAATAATAGTAATAATAATAGTAATATTGATAATAACATTAATTGTAATAATAAAAGTAATAATAACAGTAACAATAATTGTAATAATATTAATAATAATAATATTAATAACAGTCTTAATAATAATATTAAAAATAATAGTAATAATGATTGGGATAATAATAGTAATATTAATAGTAATAATAATTGTAATTGTAACAGTAATGATACCAGTTATAATATTTGTAATAATAATAGTAACAGTAATTGTAATAATAATACTGATGATAGTTGTAACAGTAGTAATGATAATAAGAGTAATAATGATAGTGATAATTACAGTAATAATAATAGTAATAGTAATAGTATTAGTAATAGTAATAATAAATGTAATAATAATGGTAACAATACTAGTTATAATAATTGTAATAATAATAGTAATAGTATTTGTAATAATAATGATAATAATAATAGTAATAATATTCGTAATAATAATAGTAATATTAATTGTAATAATAATTGTAATTGTAACAGTAATGATGCCAGTTATAATATTTGTAATAATAATAGTAACAGTAATGATGCCAGTTATAATATTTGTAATAATAATAGTAACAGTAATTGTAATAATAATAATGATGATACTTGTAACAGTAGTAATGATAATAAGAGTAATAATGATAGTGATAATTATAGTAATAATAATAGTAATAGTAATAGTATTAGTAATAGTAATAATAAATGTAATAATAATGGTAACAATACTAGTTATAATAATTGTAATAATAATAGTAATAGTATTTGTAATAATAATGATAATAATAATAGTAATAATATTCGTAATAATAATTGTAATTAATGTTGTAATAATAATTGCAATAATAATGGTAATAATAATAGTATAAATATTAGAAACAATAATTGTAATAATAATAGTAATAATATTAGTAATATTAATAGTAATAGTAATTGTACTAATAATAGTAATAAGAATAGTAATAATATTAGTGATAATTATTGTAATAATAATAGTAATAGTAATGTTAATAATAATAGTAATAGTAATAGTAATAATAATTGTGATATTATTATTAATAATAATTGTAATGTCGATAGTAATAATAATAGTGATATCGTTAGTAATAATAATAGTTATGTCGATAGTAATAATAGTTGTAATATTAATTGTAATAATAGCAGTAATAATAATTGTAATAATAATACTAGTAATATTAGTAATAATAATAGAAATAATTATAGTTGTAATAATAATATTAATAATAGTATTAGTAACAGTAATAATAACAGTAATAATAATAGTAATAATAATAGTAATAATAAGAGTAATAAGAATATTAATAGTAATAGTAATAATAATAGTGATAATAATAGTAATAATAATATTAATTATAGTAGTAATAATAATAGAAATAATATTAGTATTAATAATAGTCATAATAATAGTAATAATAATAGAAATAATTATAGTAATAATAATTGTAATGATAACAGTAATAATAATAGTAATAATAATAGTAATATTAATAGTAATAATAAGAGTAATAATAATAGTAATAGTAATAGTTATAATAATAGTAATAACAATAGTAATAATTATAATAATAATAATAGTAATAGTTATAATAATAGTAATAACAATAGTAATAATTATAATAATAATAATAGTAATAGTAGTAGTATTAATATTGGTATTAATAATAGTTATAAAAATAGAAATATTAATAGCAATAATAGTACTAATACTAATATTATTAATAATAGTAATAATAATAATAATAATAATTGTAGTAATTACAGTAATAATAATTGTAATAATAATATTAATAATAATAGTAATAATAATAGAAATAATAATAATAATTGTTATAATTACAGTAATAATTATTTTTATAATAATAGTAATAATAATAGAATTAATAATAGACATAATAACAGTATTTATACTTATAATAATAATATTAGTAATAATAGTAGTAATAATAATATTATTAATTGTAATAATAACATTAATAATAATTATAATAATAATACTAGTAATAATACTAATAATAATAATAATAATAATAGTAATAATAATAGTATTAATAATGGTAATAATAGTGGTAATAATAATTTTATAATAACTCTAATAATAATAGTAGTAATAATAGTAATAATAATAGTAGTAATAATAGTAATAATATTTATAATAATAATAGTAATAATAATATTAGTAATATTAATAATAATAATAATAGTAATAATAATAGAAATAATAATAGTGATATTAATAGTGATCATAATAGTAACAGTAATAATAATAATAATTGTTATCATAATCGTAATAATAATTGTATTATTACTAGTAATAATAAAAGTAATAATAAGAGTGATATTTATAGTAATATTAATTTGTAATAATAATAGTAATAATAGTAGTAGTAATAACAGTAATTTTTTTGATGGTCTGAGTATGCCAATCTTTATGCACTAAACCGGGGACCCCGCTCGCCAGAGGAGCCCTTCATAATTTGGTTCCCCCATTGTGTTCCCTGGGGTGTCGGGCTCTCCTTTGGAATAGGCACTACCGACTAAAGTCATGTCCATCCTAGTGGCATAGTGAAACCATAACGTCACCGATATGTTCCAATTCTTCGGGATGGCGTCACTGCATCAGATTCCATTTCGGGACTCTCCCTTCGGCTCCACGTAGCAGGAGCTTGGAGCCTTGGGGCAGGTCTACGTGCCACCTATCTCCATCTTTTTTCACGTAAGGTGGTCCTGACCTATCGGGCCACATTGTTCAACTCCTCCTGACCTCGGAACATTTTCTCGACAATGTTGTCTGGCGAGATTTTTCCGAGATCTTTCTCCTAGGCGAGTCGTTCGACGCTCCGCCTATTACATTTGAAGAATGTGTGGTGGTTGTCGTCCACGGTCGATCGCCATAGGGCAGTTGCCGGCTGCTACATTCCTCATTTTTGCGAGGTAGGAGCAAAACAGACTATGCCCTGTCAAGAATTGAGTGAGATAGGAGTCGACCTCCCCCACCTCTCTGTTTGCCAGCGGTCAAGGATTAGTCCGACCGTCCATCTGCCCCGATGCTCCTGTTCCCATCTTCTTTGTCAGGTCTCGATGCTGGTAGACCTGGCCAGCCTTGATGCCTCTTCCTTTCTCAGAACACATCTATGCTGGTGGACGAATAGTCTCTCCTGGGCTAGTAGATCGATCGGTATTACCACCGCGACCACTAGCACCGCGGGGTCAGAGACCGTGCGGTAGGAGCCCGCGATTCGGAGAGCGCTCCTCCTCTGTACCGCGGCTATGGGCTTGCGATTTTGCTCCTTTTGCAGCACCTCGGCCCAAACTTCAGCGCCGTACAGCATCACTGCTTCAGCGACACGCATCAGTAGTCGCCTTCTGCACGGTCGGGGCCCGTTGAAGTTTGCCATGAGTGTGTTAAGCGAGGCTACTACTTATGTCGCCTTGTCGTCTGCCCTGAGTATGTGCTCTCCATAATTAAGGATTTTGTCGAGCATTAAACCTAGATATTTGACAGCCGACTTAGCCTGGACCGCCGTGTCTCATACAATGCAGCTGCGCAAGGTGTTGATGCGCTTCATCGTTAGTAGAAAGATCTCTGTCTTCTGGGCTGTCAAAGATAGCCCGTGGTATTCCATCCAGGAGACAACTCTGCGCATGACCTGGTTGAGCAGCAGCTGTGCCCCCTCCGTATCTCTCGCGGTTGTGACAACTGCAAGGTCATCTGCATACCCACCCAAGAAAGCGCCTTTAGGGACTGCCATACGTAGGATTCCGTGGTAGAATATATTCCAAATATCCGGTTCCAGTATGGAGCCCTGGGCTGCCCCCGATGTCAATTCCAAGCTTCTTAGACAACCACTCGTGTTGTCTAATAGGAAGCGCTCGTTCAGATAATCGTCGATAATTCGGAGTAGGTACTCTGGAACGCTGAAATTACGTTCGAGCGCTTCCATTTCCAAGTCTCACCCGACGGAGTTGAACGCATTTCTCACGTATAAGGTGGCCAGCAGACACAAAGGGCGAGTTAGATGGTTCCCTCGCTTCGTCATTTTAGCGGCTGTGAAGACCTCCTGGACTGGCTGGATGGTGGAGAAGCCGGATCGGAATCCATACTGGCGGGCAGCAAGATCCCCCCTGTTCTTAAGGCTGCGTGCAGCCGTGGCCTAAGCAGCTTCTCCAGGAGCTTGCCAGCTGTATCGAACGTACAAATAGGCCTGTAACACGAAGCGGCATCTGCTGGACCCTTGCCCTTGCTTATGAGCTCAAGTCTGGCTTTCTTCCATTGGGTGGGGTAGATGTCCTCCCTGAGACACATGTTGTACATGTTTAGCAAGAACTCAGGGTAACTTTGCGCGACGATTTTAATTATTTCTGCTGGAAGTCTATCTGGACCTGGTGCTTTCTTGTTCCGCATAGAAGATGCGGCCCTGAGTAGCTCTTCTTCCGTGAATTGCGATACCTCGGTTATGACAGGCGCATCCAAGCTGATCTCTCTCTTCGGCTGTGCGGGGAATAGAGTATGCACGATGTGATCCAACGTCCTCGCGTCCTGAGGGGTCCCTTGCGTGTTAATCCCCAGCTTGCGAGTAACGATGAGGTACCCTAATCCCTACGGATTCTGGTCGACAACCAGGCACACCTCCTTCCAGCAGCGTCGTTGACTGGCCTTGATGGTCCTCTTCAGAGCTTTCTTGGCCGCTTGATAGTATGTGGCCAAAGGAGCAGTGTCGTGGTCGCGTCTCTTCGCTCGTTGTGCTAAACGTCGTAGCCTTAAGCACTTTTTACGAAGATCTGCGATCTCGTTCGTCCACCAATATGCAGGGCGCCTCTGCCGTTTCGTGCCATCCTTTGGCACCGCTATCGCGCAAGCCTGTTGGATGATCTGCATTGTTGCTGCGCTAATCAACCTGGCTTGTGCGGGTGGCGATAGACTCGCGGATGTACTTTGTTGGGCTCTCCATCCTTCCACTATGACCGAAGACAGCCTCTCTCGATCCATTCTTATAATGTTCCATCGGGGGGGTCGCTATACTCTTGTCACGGCTGGCCTCCTATCATGTACATCGAATAGGGTGTACTGATGGTCGCTCCCGGTATAATTCTCGATCACCTGCCAGCCTGCGACTCTTGCCACAAGGTTTTGTTGGCTAGAGAGGCATACGAGATCGCTTTTCTGCAGCCAGTCCTGCAGAAGGTTGACGTCGAACCTGTGTTGAGTATTGATAGCTCCAGTCTCGACGCCACCTCCATGATTCTTCTTCCTCTGGAGTCCGGCCTGGCCTCCCCCCATTCGAGAGCTCTGGCATTGAGGTCTCCAGCCACAATGAGATCCTCTTGCATTTCCCGCAGGGCGTCTTTCAGATCGTCCAGTTTGGTCTGGAAGTCGTCTATCCGGTTGTTCGGGGTGAGATATACGCTGACATATGTCGTCAAGTTATGTCTCACCCAAGCGTAACCGTGTCCGGATCCTTCATCCGACACATGTATCCGTCGGGGATCTGGGATCCAGATGGCCGCGGTGCCCAATTCGTCTGCGTACCATCCTACTCATGCTCGGTACTGTTCGCTGATTAGAACAATATCAGCTTTTTTCTGAGAGTAGAGCTGGGTCAGTAGGTGGTGCGCCGTCCTGCTCCAATCCTTTTTTCCTCTTGATGACTGTTGCAAAGGCCTCCTGGAAAGCTTTGCAGGATCTTGATCCCTCCAGGTGCTTCCTAGTTTCAACAACGCCATTTGAGCACAAAAAGCAAGTAGGCTCGCTGACCTTGCACTCTTTGATCTTGTGCCCCGTGCTGCCACAATAATAGCAAACTTTACTGCGATCTGGTCCCTTGCACGAGGCACTATTGTGACCATAGTCGAGACAGCTAATGCATCGCCTCACTTTTGCCCTTCGCCTGACTCTGCAGCTGACAAAACCGACCAGCACTCGGCCGGCCTTTAAAAGTTTCGCAGCTGCTTCCTCTTCTATTTTGACAAGGGCCAGGCGTTGTTGTCTTGCGTCGGGGTTCGTCATCTTAAATTCGATATTCCCCGCGTAGCCTGGCAGGGTCCTCTTTACGGCCTTCTCTACTTCTACCAACGATATGCAGCAGTCACAGTCTCGTATCTCCAGCGTAGCTCCAGGGATCAGTTCTGTGATGCTGCTCGTTTCTCCTACCTCTTTTTGAGGGTTTCCGCGAATGAGGCCCTGATATCCGCAGTGGTCTTCTTTAGTTCGAGGAGAACCCTTCCGGTTCTGGTCTATCGGATCGATCTAACGTCTACCCCTGCGGCGCTGGTCTTGATGAGCTGTTGGATGTCTCCGACCTTGTCTGCGTAAGAATTACCTTGCGCAGGTTTCAGGAGGTTCGCTTCCGGATTCGTTTTCTTTCTCGGCCTGACCTCCGATTTGCTCGACTTCTTTTTCTCCTGCTGTGGGTGTTTCGTCGCCATTGTCGCTGGTATTTCTTTATTTCTTTTCTTCCTAACGAAAGGAAAGAAGATTCCACTTGGTGGCATTGGTCGTCGTCGCCCCCTGCCTTGGTTTTTTGAGTCTTTCTTTGTGTAATTGCGGCGGGCTTGTGGCTACTCTTTTAATCGCACCAGTATCTGTTATAGAGTTTGCCCTGAGGCTTTGAGAAAATCGGGCGAGGGTTCTCGCTCCATTATTGACCTTTTTTTTGAGATTTATACATAAACTCGAGACTGTCAATGATTACCTGAAGTTCTGGGAGCCCTTGCTTAATAACGTTGTTCACGTTTGGCTCTCTAGTAATTGCCGACTTCATTTTGGCAAGGAGTGATTTCGCTTGCGCGAATTTCTCACTCTCCCCATCTTGGGTTGTCCACTTCGCAGGCTGGATAGGTGCGGTCAAGCCGGAGAGCCGAAAGCTTTCAACGGCCCTGGCAGCCCTCTGCCACTCCCCAAAGTGTCCTTCATATTTTACCCTTCATGGCAATTTCGTCACACCGCAGGCCAGATCGACTACCTGTGGTGCACTTCCTGATGCATTATCTAGAGCTTGGGTCAGGTTGACTACCCCAATCTCATTGCAGTTACTAGTTGACGACAGCGGGTAGCCTGGCAACCACCAACAGACACCTCCGTGGCATGGGTGTCCCTCCCACGAACGCTATTATTTTTCGCTGTCCAATCAATCATGAATAATGTACTTTTGAGAGGCAAGCTTCCCAGTAGAAAGGAAAGGAACGGAAGGAAGCTAGAGAGTAAGAGAATGAATAGAAAAATATATGATAAGAGAAAAAAGGAAGGAATAGCTGTTCATGATCATTCACAAGTCATTCACACAGTCCCCTTTAGTCGCCACTAACGACAAGCAAGGAGTACTTTGGGAGTATTCTACTTCCCCCTACCCACTGGTGGAAGAAATAATAATAGTAATAATAAATGTAGTAATAACAGTAATAATATATTTAATAAGAATAGACCTAATAATAGTATTAATAATAGAAATAATAATAGTAATAATAATAATAATAATAATAATAATAATAATAATAATAATTGTAATAATGACAGTAATAATAATTGTAATCATAAGGGTAGTAATAATAGCAATAATAATTGTAATAATAATAGTATTAATAATAATAATAATAATAGTAATAGTAATTATAAATGTAATAATAATTGTGATAATAATAGTAATAGTGATAGAAATAATAATAGTAATAATAACAGTAATAATAATAGCAATAATAATAGTAATAATAATAGTAATATTTATAGAAGTAATAATAATAAAAATAACTATAATAATAACAGTAATAATAAATGTAATAGTAATAGTTATAATAATTGTAATATTAATAGTAATTGTAATTGTAATAAAAATAGCAATAATAATAGTATTAACAATTATATAATAACAGTAATAATAATAGTAAAAATAATAGTAATAATAAGATTAATAATAATTGTATCAATAATAGCATGTAATAATTATAATAAAAATAGTAATAACAATAGTATTAACAATAATATTAATAGTAGTAATAATATTAGTAACAATAACAGTAATAATAATAGTAATAATAATCTTAATAATGGCAGCAATAATAATGGTAATAATAATGGTAGTAATAATAGAAATAATAATAGTAATGTTAATAATAATAATAATAGCTATAATAATAGGAATAATAATTGTAATAACAATAGTAATATTGCCAGTAATAATAATAGTAATAGTAATAGTAATAATAATTGTAATATTAGTAGTAGTAATAACAGAAATAGTAATACTAACTTTAATAGTAATATTAATGGTGTTAATAATAGCAATAATAATAGAAATATTAATAGTAATAATAATAGAAAGAGTATTAGTAATTATAATCCTAATAATAACAGCAATAATAATAGTTGTAATAATATTAATAATAATAGTAATAAAAAAAGAAA